ACCCCTACCCCCCCCTCCCCCCCCCCCAAATCCAATATATATAGTACACCAACAAGTAATTAATTAAGTGTGCTGTTTCTTCAATATCTATACATAGTTTAGAGCTAATTAACGAAACTAACTGTATAGTAACACTAGTAATCCATTTAGGAATAATACAAACAATTGTGTATACATATAAGTCGTTTAATTAATTACTTTCCATAACTCCAAAAGTCCATCTCTCCACGCAACGGAAGGTGATTGATTTGATTCATAGAAGATGATGCAACATTTGCATCCTCACTAATAATTCCCCACTGATCATTATTCATATTCTGATGAGAACTAGCTACCTCCAAACCAGACTCACAAGGTGCAGACTGCTGAGAAGTAGGAAGAGGGCCAGATGAGAAGTCATGATGATATCCCAATGACATGAAGTTTTGTGCTAATTGAATATTATTATTGTGTGAATTATACTCGTGTGGAAAAGTAGCAGCAACTGTAGTAGGAATATGGGAATAGTTTAAGCCATGGTCATGGCCATGTTGTTGGTGTTGTTGTAGTAGATATGGGCTATCTTTGTGTGTGAAGGTTGTTCGAGGTTGGTGGATTGAGGTGCTGCTGTTTAGTAGATGATCTGAGCCTGTGTCAGTTGTACCTTCATTTGCAATTACTTTGAATAGGTTCTTCTTCTTGAAAACCCTACATATCACCCACCCATCCTCCTGCACATTTTAATAAAGGGATCTTTAATTTACACAAATAGTCAGCTAGATTCAACGTTTATTTTTTCTAGTCGGTATATATATATATATATATATATATATATATATATATATATATATATATATATACGAATACAAGGGTGTATATATAGAGTATACTTTCGCCAACTATTTCTAATTTAAGCGGTTGGGTGGATGACTATTTAGGTTAATTTTTTTTAAATCAGGAAGAACTTCTCTAGCTTTTATGTTCCATGGAGTAACATGTAAAAAAATATTTATACAATTATATCACTTAAAAATTAATTATAAAATACAATTTACTAATTAAATATTGATTGATAATCCAGAATAAAATAAGTTATCAGTCTATGAGCCCGTTTGGATTGGCTTAAAAAAAGTGAATTTTCAGGAGAAATAGCTTTTAAGCCAAAAAGCAATAAGTTGGGGTTGTCTAGCTTATTGCTTTTGACTTGTTTTAATCAATTTTTAACTTATTTTAAGTACTTTTCTAACTTTCCCAAACATTAAAAAAAGCTAAAAAGAGCTTAAAAGCTGATTTGAACAGCTTAAAAGCCAATCCAAACACCCTCTATATATATAACTTAAAGTCTTCCTATATTGTTTCATTTATTAGCCTCTTGCGCCGTTCAAGGATTCAGCTGAATCGTAATTATGGATAACAAATTCCTAAGCAAGCAAGCTGAAAATTCTCCTGATAGTCAAAGATTTTGTGGTAGAAAGTCAATCTTCAATATGTTCACAAATTAATTGAACCGTTATTAGGATCATTTAATTACTTTGACTTTCATAAACATGATTGCATGCATGCAAATGCAATTGACTATGCAAGACTTCAACCAGCTGGTCTTTCTTCAATCCATGCATGTATGCCACATCCATGCTTGTTTTAGTCACCTTAAATTTTTTAAAAAGAAATTAAAAAAAATCTTTTATTTGTGATCCGATCCCCTTGAAGATGCCAATTTAAACTAGAGGCGGAGCTAGAACTTTAAGTGTAAGGATTTTCAAGTTTGTATTCTAAAAAAGTTAACTTATTGAGTTCTGAATAAATTATTTATGCATATTATATGAATTTTTTAACATGATTACAGAGTCTAGACTAAAGCTGCTGAATTATGCCGAACCCATAAGTGAAATTGTAACTCTGCCCCTATTTTGGAAGAAAGGAGATGGAGCAACTTACACTTGAATTTTCGTCGGAATCTTCAAGCCTATACTCATGCATGATCCAATCAGTCTTTTGGCCATGTGGAGCTCTTCCTCGGTAAAACACTAGGGTTTTCCTCATACCAATCTTCTTCAATGGGTTTCTTATGCATTTGTCCCTGCCTGTTGCCTTCCAAAATCCAGCATTTGTTGCTCGGTTTGTTCTTGAACCTGTGGGATATTTCCTATCCTTGTGGCTGAAAAAGTACCACTCATTCTGCGGTGTTGATCCAATCTTGCACCTCTCTGCACATGAAACCCCGCATGAAAATCTTACTAACAACAATATAAGAATTTCTTAAACTTAATTTCCCCCTAATTACGTACATCAGTCATCAGCACAATAATAACTAAGAAATCCTGAATTGTTACTACAACAGCTATATATTATGCCCAAGTAGGAGTAGTATAAGAGTGATCTCTCCTTGAATTAATATGTCCTTATAAAACTAATCTACAGAAGGAATATTGGTGTTTAATAGATCAGATGATCATATACTTATATATAATGTGATGTGGCGTAGCTAAATTTTATCTTACTGAAATAAAGTTTACACTTTTCAGCGAGGGTAAAAAGATCTTAAATTCATGTTACTCTTACATATCAAAAACAAATAATTAAAAACGTATATATTCATCTAAAAGTTTAAGCACTTAGACAAATCACTTTTCTACTTAATTACACTATGTCTCAATCAGAAAAAAATTATACTATGTCTCATCACAGCGAAATACAGAGGCGGATCCAAGATTTAAACTCTATGGGTTCAGCCTAGCTTTAAGTTTTTTAGCATTTAACGCATTATATTTCTAAAGTTATGAGTTCAGATCTACTAGTATTTGTTAGTATAATTTTAGTAAATTAATTTTACGTATAAATTTATGCTCCGCATATCGAAAGTTATAGGTTCAGTTGAACCCATCACCTATATGTTATATACGCCCTGGCAAAATATGTTTCTCGTTGACAACCAAAGTAGTAAAATCTGATGAGAGTAGCTTCTAATTAAAATCTCTAAATACCAACACTATGTGGGCGTTTGGACATAAGAATTGTAAAATTCTTAAGTCAAAATGGTATTTAAAATTTAGAGTTGTGTTTGGACATGAATATAATTTTGGGTTGTTTTTGAAGTTTTGTGAGTGATCTGAGTGAAAATTTTGAAAAACAACTTTTTGGAGTTTTTCAAATTTTCGAAAAATTTCAAAATGCATCTTTAAGTGAAAATTGAAAATTTTATGAACAAACGCTGATTTCGAAAAAAAGTAAAAATATTTTGAAAAAAAAAGAGAAAATTTTCTTATGTCCAAACGGGCTCTATATATATACGTACCTTGCAATTCCCAGGGCTCCATCTTATTCAAGTCGACTTCTCTGATTACCTCCATATCGAACTTATGAAATGAAAGTTTCTTTTTCAAGTAGTAATGAAGAAGCTCTTCGTCTGTTGGATGAAACCTAAACCCCGGCGGAACACCACCACCACCACCACCTGATGAAGCCATATGCTAAACTCTCTCCGATCCTTAATTTGCGGGCGCTACAGTTGACCCCAAAAAATTAAAGGAACGATCTCTTAATTTGCACTCTCTCGCTGTAGCTTTCTTTCTTTAATTTGATTGAGATGAGCTCTTATATATATCTATATCCTCTTGTCTCAACTGTCAACGAGGTATTGTGAGGAGAGAAAGTTGACGGCCGATGACGCCGCCGGCGCTAACTCTTAAAGCTAAAGTAAATTGCAAGTTACAATAGCACGTACTGAGACTCAAATATTTAAAGATGGTTCAACCCTATTCCTGTAAGCCCTTTCTCTATACACACGCGCATATGAGAGGTTGAATTAAGGACACATTAATTTACCGGTTTAAGTTGTATACATGCACTGTGGAATAATTAAACAATCACGTTATCTATATCTGTTGTAGCATGTAACTTAGCTTGTTTTATTTTCAAAATTACAAATTTCATATTTTAAGAAGACTTATCCGCGGATATCCTTAAATTGGCCCGCTAGAGTTAAAAATAAATAAATAGTATAGCTTAAACTCTTTATTTACTCTATAGTAATTCATTTTTGTATTGATGATATTCATCTTTGTTCCTGTTTGGGGAGAATTCATATAGAACAAAATCACTTTTTATTTTTATCTTTTGGGAAAAAAAACTTTATAGTTTTTTCTGTTTATTCCAGATTAACAAATGTTGTATCCAGGGGCGAGTGCCGCCAACGGGTTCGGTCGAACCGAGTAGTTTTGGTTCAAACCTTGTATTTGTCTTAAAAAATCTATTGAATATGTATAAATTATTAATTTAGAACCCAGTAACTTAAAACGATTAGAATCCCGATCCCATAAGCGTGAAATCCTGGCTCCGCCTCTGGTTGTATCCAGTAGTTACTATAAGTTCAAAAGACTGATCACATTTCTATTCAAATTCAAAAATGGATTATCAGTTCCACAATATATATGTCACCAAATGGCGAAGAAATGTACATATTAGTTTTTTCTAATTTTAGCCACATTCTAGTTGAATGAATGCAACCGGCTTATTTCCAAAATCGAATAAAGTATTAGAAAAAATAGCAGAATAGGGACGAAATAATTAGGCCTTGGGTAGTGTAGTCACTGTTCTTAAGAAATTTAAGCCTCTCAATTTTGTTGCTGCAAGGATTATGGTAGAATTCCTCCAGGATTCTACAAAGCCTTTGAAATTCGAGTATCAGCAATTAACTCGAATTTCCACTAGAACAACCTTTTGTGAATTGTAAATAGCAGAAAGAAAAGAAGATGGAAAACTATTATTTTTCTGATGATTTTTGTTTTAGAGAGGAATGAGGTATTTATAAACCCTTTTAGGTGTCTCTTAGAATTAACAGACTCAACCTACCTTTTAAAACCAATAGTCACCTTCTTGAGTTTAAAAGAAAACTATTAAAAACGTTTTTCTGATTTTTTTTTAAAAAAAAGTGCCCAAGTTCCCAATCTTGACTATTAATATTAATAATATAGTCAAATTTCAATTTTCATCTAAAACATCCTTAAAAGTATTCGAACTATATAAGCCAAAGAGTGCTTTTACACACCACTTTCTTTCTTTCTTTTTCCAATAAAGGACAAAACAACCTCTTCTTAAATACTCCAATCAAACACTAACTAATTAATCTAACATATAGTTAGAACACTTATGTCATATTGTACTATCTATATAAATATTTTATTGAGGTAGAAAATTGATTAAATTGTTAATAGGTTTTTTTTATTCCTAAACATATTTTGAAACTTTATTACCCTTAATGTTCATGTTTAGCTAATTACCCGGCATAAACAAGTTTTGTTTACAAAATATATACAATCTACCTTAAAAGGCTCCCAAATCCATTATTTGTGCCTTCAATCAAGGGATTTAGTTACACCTTTTTCTTTTTTTTCCTCCTCTCTCCCCTTTCTCTCCGGATCTTCTATTATTTTAAACTATTTCACTGATAAAATAGTTAAGCAGCTACCACCAACTCCAGCCCTCAAGATCATCAGCAGTACTATTTTTCTCCAGCCCTCAAGGCTCCCCCATTATTTTGTTAATTAAACTGTTAGGAATGACGAGGGAATTTATAATAATAATACTTGAATGCCAAATGATTTCTGCTACGTAGTTGTTTTCTCCCATGTACGATGAAAAGGGAAGGTTCCAAGAAAGAAAAGAAAAGGACTTGGGAATTTCCTAATTAACATAAACAAAAATCAATCCCATTACTGTTAACAAAATTTTGACATGGGTCCATTATTTGGAAGACTTTCCTCCACGGGACAAATTTTGAGCAAAACGATTGACATTGAATCTGGGATTAGAGGAAAAATCTGTATATACAAAATCTAAAATTAAAGAGTACGTACTATTCTGTTTGCTTACAGGCTGAGCATATTTTTAGGATTCAAATGAACTAATGTACAACTTATCTACAACTTTTATACATTATTTCTACACAGTTAAATACAACTACAATATCATACAACTTAAATATAATTTTTATATAATTTTTATACAATATGTCTTTTGTATATTTTGTATCTGATTTATACATAGTAAAAATTAATTTGATACAACTAATTTATATATTATACTACTTATCTACAACTTATCTACAATTTTTATACATTATTTCTACCCAGTTAAATACAACTATAATAACATACAACTTAAATACAAATTTTATACAATATGTCTTTTTTATATTTTGTGTCTGATTTATACATAGTAAAAATAAATTTCATACAACTAATTATATATTATACAACTTATCTACAATTTTCATACATTATTTCTACTCAGTTATATACAACTACAATATCATACAACTTAAATATAATTTTATACAATATTGTTCAACTTTCATACAATAGTTAATATATATATATATATATATATATATATATTATATATAGTACAAATGTTTATATATATATATATATATATATATATATAAACAAACATAATACAAATTTTCTACAATTTTTCTACAATTTCGTAAATATAACGTATATCATATCTTCTTCTTATTCTTCGAGGTTCAATCTGAAATTCAGCCAAAATCAAGTCTAATCTTCACCAAAACACCCTCAAAATTGAGAAATAAACTCCAAATCATATTCCCAATTGTTTGCAACAACACCCAATCCAAACAAATAATGATTATTGAAAACCCAAATTCGAATTCAAAGCTTCAAAGCTTTTTAATGGCTGTCAATGGTGGAATTGCTGCTCTCTTTTCCTTTGCTTTACATTACTGAAATTAGGGATTGAGAGATAGAGAGAGACGTAGAGAGAATCTCAATTCTTTGCAACAACGCCCAATTCAAACAAATAATATTTTTCGAAAACCCAAATTCAAATTAAAGGGAAACAAACTGTTTGGCTCAAAAGTTAACGATATACTTTGTAAGCGATAAAACAATCAAAAATAGAAAAGGGGTAAATCGTAATCAAATATAATAAGCCTAGAGATGCAAAGATGATAATATTGTCGTAGATCTGATATTGCAAAGTGATAATGTTTACCAATAAGATATTTTCGTTAGAGGTAGAGATATAGAGAGAGAAAGCCAGAAAAATGAGAGAGTTGTATTAGATCAGATCCCCCTTTTACAATGTGGAGGTCTCCTTTATATAATAGGAGACCTTCCTCGAAAGAATCAAAAAGTTACAAAAATAGGTAACGTCTCCCTATCGTGGACGCTGAGTTCTAAACGATGTCGCTTTTGTCCTCACGGCCGAGTCGTACCCGCTACGTTGGTCGGCGTACACTCATTGGGCGTACCCACTGGCGTAGAGATACTGAGGGTCAAATTTGACCCTATACAGTTAGTCCCTCCGCTCGTTGGAGACGCGTTCGGTGGGCGTCTTCGACGGGCGGAAATACGAACCTCGGCTTAGGAGAATTTGACCTCGACCAGGGGCGGCAATATGAATGAAGTGAAACATATGACGTTGTTGAGCCGCTGACGCGTGGCTTCCTTTTTGGAATGATGTCATCGCCTGTATGCATCATCATTATATTTGCCCCCGAGGCGGTTCAGAGGATGAAGTGACGTTTTGGTTTCCGGCGCACGTTTTGAATCATGACTCTTCGATTCCTGTGCAACTTATCCTTATAAGTATGAGAGAGGTTTGATCTGATTCCACTTTCAAGCCGCTGAAAAGTATTTTCTGATACACTCCTTTGCCTTCCTTTCTTGTACCCGTTATTTCGTGAGGGACTCTCCCACTTCTGTTGAAACCACACTTCCTATCGTCAGTGCTTCGTTTCTCAAGTAGCATAATCATGACAAAACGCGGACAGAATAATAAAAAGGCCAAAGATAATGCCCCGTCTAGGGTTCCGCCATCTTCCGGTGGTGAAGAGGAAAAGGCGGAGAAGGCCCTTGTTCCTCTCAGCGTAGACAATGTCCTTCCGAAGGAGATGCACGTTCGCAGGGATTTTCCAACTAAAAGCCCTGATCTTCCCTGGGAGTACAACGTTTTACTACAATCCCATTTAGATGATCTGCGAGAGACGCACCATATTCCGGACCACGTGGAAATGGTTCCGGCCAGGACGGATTATGCCAATGTGCACCGGCCTGGATATTGCACCTTCTATGAGTACCCGTTCTTGATCGGTTACGCCCTTCCATTCTACCCTCTGGTGGAGGAGCTTTGCCGTTTTTACAATGTGTGACCGGCCCACCTCACTCCCTATACTTTGAAGGTGTGCCGTATCATGACCACTTATGCGGCCAGGGCCGGGTGCAGCGTCTCGGTCCACCACCTCTTACAGTTGTTCAGCGCTGGTTACCTGAGGGGTACCATGCTGCAGTTGAAAGGTCGTAGCGCAAAGGGCTTGGTCGTTAAAGCCGATGATAAGCCCAACCGCCGCTTTTGGCGTAAATATTTCTACATCAGGACGGAGCACCTGGTGTCGAATCCCGAGGGGTTCCCGGAAAGATGGAATCCAGAACGTAAGTATTTCTACTTGTAGATTTTAGTGCTGCTTGCGCCTTCGACCATACGGCCATAGTGACCTTTGTTTTTCTTTCCTCTTTTTTACTCGCAGCGAGGGCTTCTCCACCCCAGCTTGTTG